AATGTCACATGGGAGATCCTTCCAATGTCACATGGGAGATCCTTCCAATGTCACATGGGAGATCCTTCCAATGTCACATGGGAGATCCTTCCAATGTCACATGGGAGATCCTTCCAATGTCACATGGGAGATCCTTCCAATGTCACATGGGAGATCCTTCCAATGTCACATGGGAGATCCTTCCAATGTCACATGGGAGATCCTTCCAATGTCACATGGGAGATCCTTCCACTAACCTCTGTGGAATCGCTCCCTTGTCGCCGCGACATTACCAAGCAAGATTCAGCAGAGCCTGGGGCCAGCATGGGAGAACTTCCATACGGAATGGAAGGCAGTTTCCGAACAATCCTGACCCCAGCCTAAATATAAAACCAAAAACGCAGTTCCTTCATGATTCAATGTTCTATGACAACAAAATGTGAATACTTTTCATAGGCACTGTATATGGCTTTCCAGACTGGGAATGTTTCATCACGAGCCCTGCTATGCAATGAGACCTTATGTCATACAATTGTTGCACTTTTTTGGGTCTCTAGCTAGGAGCTCGAAGCTTATGGCATTCTTTGCCTCAGTGAGGGCAAAGTATACAACCTTGACTCCAACCTCCAGCTGATGCAAAGCTTCATTTTATGCCCCCGTGAAAGATAGACCTTGTGCATTGATTATCTAATTATAGACCATCGGCATCAGCACTACACTTCCAATAAAACAATCCCTGACAATAAGGGGTGAAATGTGAGCAAAAAGGGGCAAACTTGGTCAGCAACAATACTTAGGTATAGTGTGACATTCAAATAATACTTCTTTGGTATCAGGGGCCCTAATGTAAGCCATAAGACAATTTACACCATTGTACAACAGTCTGAAATGTTGACAGGAGAGTAGATGGATCCATGATCATAAATCACTTTGCGGTGCTTCCTTCTGCCTAAATCAAGCCATTGGGCCCGTAAATGTTTTATAAATCGTTCTCAGTTTTGGCAATGTGGTGCCCACTATATCCTCCTTTCCCTGTTCTTAGCTGACAGAAGTGGGACTCGTCCTGGTCTGTTGTGTCCTGACGCTTGTCTTCACACCGCTCTGGTAAGGAGCAATTATTGAACTATTTGTCGTCTTACTGACAGTTCCAACACATCAGATGAATGTCCTAAGACTTCCCTAATAAGCAAGGTGTTTTTATCTACAGAACTACTGCTACCTCAACGGGTTTTCCCCCCAAAATGTCTAAAGCTGGCCATACAATGTCCTAGTTTTATTCGTTCAACCCTGTGGCTGAATAAAACAAATAGAACAGATTCCTCCATCAAAGCTTTGGCAGCATCGATGGAGGAATCCCCGCTGTTTACTTTGTATTCTGACAGAGGTCGCTGGCCACTGTCAGAATACCTGAACAGAGCTGGCAGCTCATTGGCTGCTGGCCTTTGTTTGTTGGAAGATCTTCTGAGTGGCTCCTTCAATCAGCTGATTGAGGGATGCCGGCCAAATTGGTGCCGTCAGGAAGCTGCCAAAATTCACAAAATCTATGGCCACCTTAAGATGCTGCCACCAACAATCATTCCCTGGTTAAAGTTCACACATCCACATTTCAGCATTCTCCATTATTGAGCTGACCCCTAAGGTCTCGTTCACACCTAGGCGTATTGCATATGCGCGATTCGCGGTAAAAAAGTCGCGCAACAAACGCGCGTTTCCGAAGGCTACTTGGCTGTATCCCAATGGAAACGCACAACAAAACGGCCCAAAGTAGTCCCGGCACCTTTCCAGGCGCGGGCCGCTTTGTAGCGCGTTAGGGACGGGCGGAAATATCGCCAAGGTGGGAACCAGACCAGTGAATACAATGCGATTTATATGTTGGAGCGTTTTGTAGAGCGTTCGTCGTGCGTAGAACCCGCCGCAAAACGTTCCGGTGTGACCGAGGGCTGACCCTAAAAAGTGGTCACTATGTGTAGAGTGGTTATACCTTCCCTATGCCTTGTGTCTGCCCTCCAAACATTTCACCATTTTACCTGGTTTGGGAATGACACAATGTTTCATCCGACAATACAGCTTCTTCCGACGGTACAACAACAATGACATGACGAGGGAAGGAAAAAGAGAACGATATAAAGAGAGGAAAAGGGAAGAAGGAAGAGGAGGAGGAGAGAGAGATAAAGTCAGAGAAGGGGGAGAGATACAAAGTCAGAGAAGGGGGAGAGATACAAAGTCAGAGAAGGGGAGAGATATAAAGTCAGAGAAGGGGAGAGATATAAAGTCAGAGAAGGGGGAGAGATACAAAGTCAGAGAAGGGGAGAGATATAAAGTCAGAGAAGGGGAGAGATACAAAGTCAGAGAAGGGGAGAGATATAAAGTCAGAGAAGGGGAGAGATATAAAGTCAGAGAAGGGGAGAGATATAAAGTCAGAGAAGGGGGAGAGATATAAAGTCAGAGAAGGGGAGAGATACAAAGTCAGAGAAGGGGAGAGATATAAAGTCAGAGAAGGGGGAGAGATATAAAGTCAGAGAAGGGGTGCAGCACTCAAAGACACTTCAAGAGCCAGTCTGTAAACAGAACACATAAAGTTGAAGCTTTCACTGAGCTGAGAGAGGAGGAGGAAGAAGACAGCAATAGATAATGAACATAACATGAGGAGGAGGAGGAGACAGAAGCTGCCTCACCCAGAAACACAGAGACGGAGCAGAGACAATTAGAGTGCAAGGTCAGAGACACCTGTAACATGATTCAGAGACAGCTGAACAGAATGAGACAGCTGGCCAATCACGGGCCTGGCAGGTGGGTACCTGATACACTCCGGAGAGCACATTGAGTTTTTGTGTTTATACCAAGTGCTGCACATGGCAGTTAGCGGCTGTTTATTGGGAATGTCCGGCTGTATTAGAGATATTAGATGCCGGTAACTTTGTGGGTGGTGACAACATACTAAATTCCTCCAGGAAAATGTCACTTTCCACACCTGAGCGGTGACCCCAATGCTCGGCCTGTATTCCCTCTCAGACCTCTCATCAAGATGTCACAGGTCAAAGTACAAACTTGTCATTCCTTCCTCGTGTTCCTGTAACATGTACAAACCACCGAACATGTGTATAGCTATACATGTATGGTGTGTGCCGTGCATACTGTGCTGTGTATGGCGTGTGCCGCGCATACTGTGCTGTGTATGGCGTGTGCCGTGTATACTGTGCTGGGTATGGCGTGTGCCATGTATACTGTGCTGGGTATGGCGTGTGCCGTGTACACTGTGCTGGGTATGGCGTGTGCCGTGTACACTGTGCTGGGTATTACATGTGCCGTGTATACTGTGCTGGGTATGGCGTGTGCCGTGTATACTGTGCTGGGTATGGCGTGTGCCGTGTATACTGTGCTGGGTATGGCGTGTGCCGGGTATACTGTGCTGGGTATGGCGTGTGCCGTGTATACTGTGCTGGGTATGGTGTGTGCCGTGTATACTGTGCTGGGTATGGCGTGTGCTGGGTATGGCGTGTGCCGTGCATACTGTGCTGGGTATGGCGTGTGCCGTGCATACTGTGCTGGGTATGGCGTGTGCCGCGCATACTGTGCTGGGTATGGCGTGTGCCGTGCATACTGTGCTGGGTATGGCGTGTGCCGTGTATACTGTGCTGGGTATGGCGTGTGCCGCGCATACTGTGCTGGGTATGGCGTGTGCCGTGTATACTGTGCTGGGTATGGCATTACACAGGCGAAGGTGCATCCCCCCCCCGGCAACCAATCAGCTTCTCTCTTCAGTTTGTTGAGTTAGATTTGACAATGAAAGGGAGAAGCTGATTAGTTGGCGTGTACGGCTGATCCGGTTAGGGATTCCTCGCGTGGCACAACGCATGATACTTCGTGTATTTGGTTGTTGGATCGCAGACGGAGCCGCTTTGGACTCGTATTATCTCGGTTCTGGTTTCATGAAGATTTGGAGTCTTTGTTCGGCGCGCACAATGTGGTGACTCCGGCCAATACATTGACCTCTGTGTGCAATTCTCTAACCACGTGCAGCCAAATTCTGCAGGTCTTTCCCGTATTCGGGACTGTAGCCTCTGGTCACATCCGTATGTATTCCATGGAGTGTGGGCGGAGCTGTATTCCATGGCGTGTGGGCGGAGCTGTAGAGGGTTCAGATTCGGGACTGATGGCATTTCCCACATTCCCGTCAGAAAATGTATCGAAGGAACATAAAACGAGACACTTAGCAGGCAGGTTGGTCATTTCAGAATAAAATGTTTGTTATATAACTGATCACGTGACTCTCCCTGACAATGCCTTCCTCTGCTTTTCTCTCCAGAAGGACGGCACCAACCTTTGTTCAGGCATCATTCAGGGCCGCCATCTACTTCCTAGAGGAAAATGCTTCCTTTACATCCCTTGCCTTTATGTTTTGGGCTGCGTGTAGCATGTTATCCTTCCCCCCAGACTAGCCCCCTGCTACTGTATCTCGATGTGTGACATTGTACAGTCTGAGTGATCAGCGGGGGAGGGGACTCTGAGAAAATGCTTCTTCCTTTTTATTACCGCTTCACCCGCACAGCCAGAGCCATTGGAGCTGAGGAACTGCTCTAGGACATACGTGTGCATGGGGACATGCCAGGATGTAGCACACAGCGTTACTTCTCATTCTAGTCGTTATGTGAGAAGTCTATAACATTCAGTGTGTATCCAGGTCAAATGACGTCACAGACTTATTGCCTGAAGAATTACTTCTGGTGAGAGACGATCTTCTACGTGATGATATTATTGTTATATAAGAGCGCTGCGATGGGGCCCATATGGTGTCACAGGAAAATAATGGCAGACATGATGGGAGGGGATACAATGAGGATCTTCTGTATATAGGGACATACACGGGTCACAATCCGATATCACATACACGCCATGCAATACAGAGTGGAAGGGTTGGGCCCCCTTCGGGTTATTTACCATATTTTACATCTACAGAGAAGACCAATTCCAGGGACAATGGGAGCAATCTTCCTGTCATATTGGAAATATTCTTTCACTTCCTGTTGTGTCTCCTGGACAGGAAGAAAAGAGAAATTTGCCCAAATACAGACGGCAATATAACGGAAAATTGTTTCCTTTCCTGGCGCCAATACACGGCAGCATACAATGGGTTAGCTCCACCCCCCCAATCACAGGAACAGTGATACTGTAAATGAAAGCTCGCCTCCTAAGGCCGCCAAAAACCATGGGAGGGCCCCGTATGCCGCCATGTATGTGAAAATGACTGATAGGCAAGTATACAATTTATCGTTTTCCTGACGCAAATATGGCCGCATACGAATGGGACAACCAGGGAGGGTAATGCCGAGATATTTATCTATTTACACATTCAGAACCAAACTTCACCATGGACAAGACTCCTGGACAGACCCTGTGATGAGACGGGAACATATACCAGGGTACTGCCTTCCAGTATAAGTCTGGACATGTAGCATAAAAAAAAAAGTCATGTGACTTGCAGAGAGCCCCTTCCTGATACCACCAGAAAGATGACCCGTCAGAACCAGCTGGACACTAACAATGCTGTATATATGGAAGCCACATACTCGCCTGTGAGGCAATGAAGGGTTATAGCACAACAGGACCCGTCAGAACCAGCTGGACACTAACAATGCTGTATATATGGAAGCCACATACTCGCCTGTGAGGCAATGAAGGGTTATAGCACAACAGGACCCGTCAGAACCAGCTGGACACTAACAATGCTGTATATATGGAAGCCACATACTCGCCTGTGAGGCAATGAAGGGTTATAGCACAACAGGACCCGTCAGAACCAGCTGGACACTAACAATGCTGTATATATGGAAGCCACATACTCGCCTGTGAGGCAATGAAGGGTTATAGCACAACAGGACCCGTCAGAACCAGCTGGACACTAACAATGCTGTATACATGGGGCAATGGAAGGATGACAGTATAACAGAATAAGCCTGCAGTGAAGCGACTCCATGAGTTATATTTAAATATCAAAACAGCGCCGGGGAACTACAGGTGGCAGCAATATCCTCACATGAAAGGCAGCAGATTGAAGCTGACAACAGATTTCTGGGAGATGCAGGTAAAGCTTTGCTGGCAGAACTACAAGTGTCAGCAGTCTGCGCTCAGCCAGCACCGGGAGGGTTGAAGCACCACAAGCAAGCGAATGGATTTAGGGAACGACCCGCAAGATTCAGCTGTGACATCAGCAGCACAGAATCCCGTCCTTCCCTGGGAGGTCCAATCACACATATGATACAGGATCCGACTTGTCCATGCGTGTGATCATTCCAGGACAACTGGCGTCTCGGATCATGTAGTCTGTCCGGAGTCACAGGACCAGGAGGCCAAGCAAGTGTTTAACCTGCCGCCATGATGGAGGAAGCATCCGAATATGGAGGGACCCCAAGAGACCACTTCCTGCACCCCAAACTCTGATGCTATGGGTGAGGGGCTTCCCTTATAAAATTACATTTAGCCACCTGAACAAAGGGAACTTCGCAGCAGGAGAGGAGGAACCTGAGCGGTGGGAGAGGAGGGACCAGCAAGGTGAGGACAAAAATATTCTTATAACCGGCATGAGCACTGAGGACAGAAAAAAGAATGGCTGCCTTGGGAGGCGTGTCTTATAGAATAACTGGTCCTGTGACTGGACAAGGGGTGGAGCCAAACCCATTTGTATGCTGCCATGGTGGTGTCAGAAAATATATATATATCTAACATATTCTGCAGAGTACACTGAGCCAGTCACATCAGTCTCTGTACAGAGGAGCTTGCACTCTAATGTCCCCTCCCCCACACAGTCACACACTATTATTATACATTTATATAGCTCTGACATATACCGTAGTGCTGTTACAGAGAATCCATCATGTTTATGGAATGGAAATCTGAACACAAACAGGACAAGCTCCATGCACATAGACCCGCTAGCACTGCATAGCTAGATATGTTTCGTTGATTCCCCGTTGTTCTCCTGTGTCTATGGAGTGATTCTTCTATTCCTCTCTCAGGCAGATCAGCAGGTGGAGGTGGTGAAGAGAGCGGCTCATCTTGTAGGGAAGCGATTGGCGAGCTGTATGCAGGGCCCGCTGAGCTCCGACATGGACAAGAGGCTGGTGAGGCTTTGGTGATAAATGATTTCTAGAACAGATGAACTGACACAAAGGTGACTCTGATTTATCTTTGCAGAAGAAACTCGCATTGATGACGCTCTCAATGACCATGGCGGATTGTTTGAAAGAAATGGAGAGCGAGTCCAGTCTCCGGTGAGTCAGTCAGTATAGGGAGGTGGAAGTCATAATGAGGGCGAGTCCAGGTGAAGGCCGTCATGAGGACCACACTATGGTCCTACCTCCTCTTACCGTGACAAGCCAACCTTGTCTTCATTCAACTGAATGGAGGACTCTCCTTCCTCTATGTAGCGCCCACCCCGGAAGGAGCCGCTGGGTATAACGGCACTTCTGGCAACCCGGGCGCTCTCCATTTTCTACACATTTACAAGAGGGAAGTTTTCAGCCCCCTTGTGCAAGACTTTTAACCAATTAACATAACCGCCCGGCAGACCGTACTTACTAAGGAGCAACCTCAGGTACTCATGGTTGACATGATCAAAGGCCTTTGCCTGATCCAGCACCAGCAAATACTATCCCCAGCCTGCAGCCCGGCACCGCTTCAAGGCCTCCTGGACAGCTAAAACGGCTTTGAAGGTGTTCCTACCCTCAGTGGCTGCACTAGGGGGTGTGGCTCGCACTGGGTGACACCATTGAAGGTGGTGACACCAAAATGACTAACAGTCATTTTGTCACCTCTTCTGAAAACTCTGGTACTTGGTCATGGAATGATGTCCCGGTGGTGTGTCATCCGATTGCTGTTCCTGGTGACTCCACGCCTCAGGATGCCCCTGCCCACCCTGGACTGAACAGTGCTGCTGGCGAGAAAGCAAAGACTCTGCTATTGATGATAAGCACCAGAAAGATCTCTTTGCCAGCACTTGTGGCGCCAGTTCCCAGTCATCGAAGGATCTTTACCTTTTGATAGAAGAATCACAGCTGAGCTCTTCATAGCGAGAGGAAGTACCCCCTGAGCAAGGCAACTATTGAAATCCTCTACCAAATGTAGGGCCAATATAGACTTAAGAGAACTATGGGGTCATGGGGGGTGGGGGTGGGGGCATATACTAACCTGCTCCCGTGACCCAAAGCTCAGTATAGGGTTAGGCCATTGCCTGCGATATACTGAGAGCACCGCAGCCGGGACAGATCCCGACCATACTGTCTGGATCCACCCAGCTGCGTGAGTGACAGCTGGCTCTGCCTATCTAGAAGCATAGCCAGCTGTGCCCGCCCCCTCCCTGTCTGTTCCTCCACTCAGTGTTGGAGGATTGGAGAGGGGAGGGGGGAATCCCTGTGGGGAGCAGTGACTGACAGTCACCTCTCTCTGCAGGGACAGGATCGAGAAGTGATTGAGCAACGGTATGTGTTCGCTTTCTTCCCGATCAATAGAACCGACGTGTGACAGCTTCTTTGTCACAGGTCAGCTCTAACTATGAGGATCATAGGATCACCTCATAGTTCTCCTTTAAAGGCTTTGTAAAACGTAGCCGTCAAGCCATCTGGTCTGGGTGACTTTATCACAGCTAGCTTGTCGTGTCCTCAACTGCGACCTCCTCTGCCAAACTTACCAAGGCAACATCTCCACTCCTTAGACCTAGCGTAGAGTTCAAAAAGCTTCTCTTTCCTTCCAAGGACTTTACAACCTTCAGGATCCCTGACCTGGACTTTGTCAAGGAGTCTATACTATGTTTAAGGCCAATGGCCATTTTACCAGATATACCCCGTTTGCAGTTCTGGTAAGGGTCAGATGAGTGGTACTTCCCATAATCCCTCTCCAGAACCAAGGAGGCATTCACCTCAGAGATTGCCCCAGGATCTCCTCCCCCCGAGACAAACATTGGTAGATCATATGTATCTATCAAACTGCTTTCTGTTGGCTAGGCCCCTGAAGAATCCAGCAATCGGCTCCCACCACTCAGCCTTACTGCTGCCAAAGTTCAGGATGGTCACCTGCACCTGACAAAGGATTGTCTACCATGTTCTTCCTCGAGGAGAGTGGAATTAGGGTTCGGGTTTAATCTCCAGATGTCCCTCTGAGGGGAGTCTGAAGCATTGAAGACCACAGACGGCATACAGTGATCAGAAAACTCCACCGTCTGCACCACGGGGGGTTCTATCTTACTCTGACTACTGCCTCAAAGAAAAGTGAACCCCGTGTCACCCGGGAGCTGCTTAAAGTGCAAATCCACAAGACCAGCATCCCTGACTATCCTATTTAGAAAAACACTATCATGTCTCAGCCTGTCACTCAGGGCCGTCTTTAATATTGATTGGACCCCGGGCAAACATTTTCTTGGG